AGGACAAGGACATCGATATCCTGTGAATCAAAAATCAGCATCCGAGAGACGGCAGATTACAAGACGGACGTTAGGGATGCGTTTATTGCCGTACAGCTTGCAGGCCATACTACCAAAAATAGCGCATGGATATCCGTGAGATCTGAGAAGTTCAACGGTTTTCCAAGCCGCGAGACGACGTATTTGCATTCGTGGCGGCTTCATCTTTTTTTCTTTCTTCCTTGTTGATATGGGTATGGAAGGCTCAGCCGATCCTTCTGTAGACGGCGATGGACTCTGAGATGGATCTATTGTTATTACCATACTTTGTAAGGCTGTCAACAGATTCTTGGGGCCTTCGGAAAGGGGCTTGTCAGGCAAGAGGGGGGCGATGTCGGGTGCCTCGCTGTCTCTGGTCTTCTGCCGTGCGCGACGAGTCATGAGCCCCATCCGGTGCCACTCTCTCCTAAAATTTGGATGTACGGCAAAGAAACGTGTGACTCTCTCTACAGATGCTGCATGCACTGACTCGTCGAATCCAGAATCGTGAATAAAATCTGGGCGTCGTCTGAACGTACGGAGCATATGGAGAATATTTGTCTCTCGCACACTTCTAGATTGAGTATGTTCTAATGAGGTGTTATCCCAAAACATGAGTTCGCGCAGCAGGATAAAAGAGTATGGTATAACCGGCAAGCCATTTGTGGTTTCGAGATGGGAAATGGAACCCGAAGATACAACGATGACAATCTCAATATCGCTTCGAAAGCCTGTTTGTCCGGCCAGAGTGGCACTATAATACCACAGGCGCCTCGAAGTCAGGGCAAATCTGAACCAAGTGGGATACGTTCGTGCGAGTGATTGCTTCAACTCAGGGATCGAAGCGACAGGTGTGAATAAGGAGAGCTCTATTTTCTGAGTCATGATGAGAAAACATGTGCGGTAGAGAGTAAGGCACAAACCTCAGTTTGAAGATCTTGTGCTACTCCATGTATTTTTTGAGCGACATTACCAGTAAACGCGAAAGTAAGACCAGACTGTTGAAGAGAGAGAGATACCGCCTGAACGGCGTGTGACACGATATCTTGTGCCTCCATGTTTTCCATATCCGTAGCAGGGGCCTCGACAATAGAGAAGACAACCGAAAGACTCAGAGAAACTGATAATTTAAATCCGAGAAGAAACGACGAATGCACGTGTCGGGTCGGGTAAATTTTGTCAGTATCAGCTTGCCTAAAATGGAAATTTACCTCAAACTCCGACTATCGCTGTCTCTGTCGATGCCTACGTGTTACTGCTTCGGATGTCATATTACACTTCCAAAACGTCTGCGACAAGAATGACAAAAACATAGTAACGGAAGTGACATGTATGAACTCTGTCTTTGTATGTGCACTGTTCCTGGCAGTAGCTCCGAGGCTCTTTCTCGTTCTATCTCGTTAATTGTAAATCAAAGTCGCAAACGACACGGTTGGTTCATGCCTCATGGGGATGACGAGTGAGTTTGTGGCAACTGCTCATGCTGTATCGGGATGTCATAACGGTGTTTGGGTGAATCAAACATCATGCCTCTTCACCTCGGAACATTGATCTGGCTTCTGTCGCTCCTCTTTGCTAGTATGAATATCTATGATAACATGCGTGCTATATTAAGGTCGAGGAACATCACTCTTTTATCCCGCTTTTTTCCTTGCCAGCTCATGTAAGCTGGCGATACTTCACCTCCTGCTACAGAAGTGATACTGTCAGCGAGAACGCATGCTACTAGAGTTGTCTGGACACTACCTGCATAGCAACAAGCAAGGTTCCAACTCAAAAGACTGAGTTCTCTATCGCTTCGATCTCTATATTAGCAAATGTTTCAGATAAGCGCTCTGCGAATTGGAGTCATCGATGCTTGCAATAGCGCGGGAGAGGTAAGTTACATTCAATGATACAATAATTCGATGAGCTTCCCATTTGATCATTAATTGTACTGCGGCACTGTTACAGCCACGGCAGACTACCGTCTGCCATATATAAATGGGTCAGAGGCTTTCCTTGCGACCATCTTATTTCAGATCTTTCATTATGCATTTCAAAACCCTCGTTGTCGTTGCCTGCTTCGTCGCCGCTTCAGTCGCTCAGACCTTTTCTATGGTTGATGACAAGATGAACAAGAAGGTTGCGCCTGCCATCACCAAGTTCAACACCACGATCTATGACTTCCCCATGTTGGGTGGCGGCACGGTCAAACAGGCCATGGTCTGCACTATTTACTTGCTGATCTTACACACTACCGTGTTCCTGATCTATATTCTACTCCCTTTGACAGGCTATGCACTACTCTGCCATGACTGTCACTGATACCATCTGCGATGCTACATATACCATGAACGTTGGTACTATATCCCGATATGTTTCCTGAGTATTCTTACTGGTTTTTTGAAAAGAACGTGACTTCCAAATTCTCCGATGACGAAGGGATGAAGATTATACATGACATTGAAGCTATGGAGCCCGAATTCATTGGTTCCATGAAAGGCATAGCTGCACGCCTGCCGGCCCTTCAAGCGCTCCCTGGCGGAGATGTCCCCTCCCTTATCAAAAATGATCTCAAAGAAATGAAGAATTGCGCAGATGCATTCATAATGTCGTTCGATGCTCATTCCTCGGTGCGTCCTTGATCTAGTCTGCCGCTACGAAGAACCAACCTGGCACTCATCGATCAGCCGAAAATGCTCGAGGAAGGCAAGGCTATCAAAAAGCTTAGCGATGCCGCATTTTCCCAAGTCATGTCTACCTACGAGATAGAGTAACAGTACAGATTACAGAGTCTCTGACAACCTGGGAAGACGGCAGTATCCCAGATGTAATGCTGGACACTGGACATTTCCTTTCATCGATGTATCTACACTTGAATATTGAATTCTGACTTTGAGGCGTTTGAAAGAGGGTCAGCAGAACCAACCTTTTTCTTTACTAGTATACAGTGTCCACCAAGGCGACGTATGTTGGAGCACAAACTGGATTAATGTTGAACTCTGCGGGTACAGTTATATTTATATATCAAGGCTGCACTGGAATTGTGAAAGAAATCATGTGTATGGACTGTGAGCGTTGCATTGACAGATACACTTGTACCTTCGTCATTTGGACAACAGGCATCCAAACATCAATCTGACCCGGCGCAGAATTAAGCGTTGTCTGATTGATCCGCTTAGCTAATTAGTATGGCCTATGCATGGCAACGTGCGTGTTAGATTAAAGGCGTGCGTGGAAGCGTTCAAATATGTCATAGGCCATCATGTAGTCCACAATAGTCCATCTACTGAGAACCGCCGATGGAAAATTACACAGTTAATCATGGAGGTTGAGATAATGAGTACTTACCTGAAAGGGTCGTGAGAAAGTGACAGGAACTTGGAACGGCCATATTGGGGAGCTCTTCACTTCTTTTAGCGCGCTTTTTTCCTCGCCAGCAATGGAGGCTGACGACCCTTCTACTTCTGCTACAGGGATGGTCCTAGCAAGAAGGACGAATCCTACTAAGGTCGCCTGGACAGCGACCAGCAGGGTCACCTGGTTCTGCTATATCCCAAAAGAGTCTGGGTTCTACATACCTGTTGCTTCTATCCCTGGGCGTTGGGGGATGTTTCGGATAAAACTTTGGTTGTTTCTGCAAATCGGGGTCATTAGATGCTTGCAATACTATGAGAGAGGCAAGTTGTATTAATGATACTCCAATTCGATGAGCCTTCGTAATAAACTGTGATGACCGTGTTCCCATCCTGTTGCAGCCACGGTGAATACCGTCTGCCGTATATAAGTGGGTGAGAGACTCTCCTTGCATCCATCCCATTCAGAGCTCTCCCACTATGCAGTTCAAAGCCCTCGTTGTCGTTGCCTCCTTGGTCGCTGCTTCAGTCGCTCAGACGTTTTCTATGTTCGAGGACAACCTCAAGATGAAGGTTGTGCCCGCCATGAACAACTTGAACGCCACGATCCATGAATTCCCCATGATGGGCGGTCGCACGGTCAAAAAGGCCATGGTCTGCACTATCCTTCTTCCTAATCACAAATGTCCCTGATCCATATCATACTCCCTTTAACAGGCTATACACTACTCTGTCATGGATTTAGTTGACGCAGCCAACAGCATTACAGATATCATGAACGTCGGTAGCTATATATCAGTATGCATTTCTCAGTGTTCTAATCGATTATTCAAAAAGAAAATGACTTCCAAATTCTCCGATGAAGAAGGGATGAAGATTCTGTCTGACTTTCAGGGCATGAAGCCGACGTTCATGGATGCGATGCAAGGTATGGTCGCACGCATGCCAGCCCTCAATGCGCTTCCTCGCGGAGGTGTCACTTCTCTTGTCGAAAAGGATCTCGAAGATTTGAAGAGTTGCGCTGAAGCATTTATAACTGCGTTCAACGATCATGTCTCGGTGTGTCCTTTACCTATTATTTTCCACTACAAAGAACTGTTCTGACATCTATTGATCTCAGCCCGAGATGGTCAAGGAAGCTGAGCCTTTGGAAGATATGGGCATTTCCACAATATCCCAAGTCATGCAGATTCATAAGTAGTTTCGATACTCTGACAGCTTGGAAAGCCGGTAGTACTTCCCCAGACGTTACGCTGGACATTGGACACTGTACTTGTCGCCATTACATCCACACTTGAATATCGAGCTAGAGTCATTTGAAAGATCCAGGGACCGACCTTCTCTTTTCCTTACCTGTATCCATCATCCGCCAAGACCACGTGGTCGAGAAGATGAATTTCGTCTTGTCCCACTTTGGAGTCGCACCACTCATTTCTCTGTGTGTTGGTTGATAATTGATAGTGTTTGAAACAGTTAAATCGTGCCAGTGGCTCCGGTGTGTGGCCGGGCTTGTGCCGTGTAATCATTTGACTAAGTAATGCATTGTATGAGGTGCGGTCGCGCTGGTAAATAAACTCGAAGTGGCTGTAAATTGGGATAACGGACAAGACGGCAGCCACCAGTAGCCAATCATCAAACACAGATGCATTAATGGGGTAGTGGTAACCTGGGTCGTTGCCATATGCATCGACGGAATTAGAGCATTCTGGTTCGACCCGCCGGGGGTTCGATTCCCCCTTAATGCATTATGTTCTGCCAAACAACCATCTTTTGCCTCGATTCTATCCACCTTCACAACATCCTCACCAGCGCTCGCTTAACGCCAAGCATCAAGTAAAAATGACGTGGAGTTCGCCTGCCAGAGGCTCTCCAGTGGCTGTCCAATCGAATTGGTCAGTGATTGTCACCGATTGATGATATCTACACTTTGCGGGCCAGACCGAGCAACGTTCTTCTCAGTGCTTCGCTGTTGACAGGATACTCACTCACAGACTTGCTGGCCACTCTTTCCTCGTTGTGACCTCCGCTTGCCACGCAGACACACTTCTCATGGTATCTCCCCGTCGTCTCCGTCTCCACCGCGGTACTCGCCTCGAGAGCGAGTCAGACTCTGGTGATGTCGACATGGACGTGGATGTCGAGGTGGACGCTCCTCCTACCGCCGCCATGCCAGCTGGCAGCGGGGACGAAGACGACGATAGTGACGTCACTGAGGACGGAGAGGGCGAAGGAGAACTAGACAAAGACGAATTTGAACCCAAACAGCGTGTGCACTCAGCCGCAGGCACCGCCTCTGCTCCTTCCCGTCTGAAAATCACGCTCAGGATGCCTGCCTCCCGGACCGAAACGCCTCTTGTCGAGTCTGAAGACGAGGACGACGAGCTGGGATTTGAGAATGAGGACCTGGAATCGGAGGACGAAGACGAGGAGGAGGAGGAGCAGCCGAAGACCAAGCACCCGCTCACGTCGAGACAAGCTGCGCTCGCTAGCGTGGTGGATCCTTCGCATGTATCGCTCGAGAGTGTGCGAGGCAAGGGAAGGGGGCGCGGGAGGGGGAGGCTGATAGGGGAGGCGGAGATGAGGCTGAGGAAGGAGGAGACTGCGAGAAAGAGGAAGAATTTCGTCGAGAAGAAGTTGGAGGACGAAAAGGTTTCTTTTTCTTTTTCTATTTTCTGCTATGGAAAGCAAACTAATCAACCACCAGGCAGAAACGATCAACCGTCTACTAAAGAAACAGTCCCGCCCACGCGGCCCGGGAAAACGCGCCAAAGACGTCGTAGCGCCTCCTGCAGCCGACGCCGACTCGGACGAAGGCAACACCATGGACGACGACACGCCGCCAAACGAGCGCGAACCTCCGCCGCCGCCGCCTCCGCCAACAATGTACCGCTGGATCTCCACCACGCGCGTCCCTTCCTCCTCGTCCTCGTCTTCCCCCTCAACGACACCATCGACATCAACGGAACCTCAGATGCGCATCACGTTCTCCGTCCCGCCCTCCATGTGTGCACCCCAGGAGGACCAGGCAATTGACAGACCGCCCCGTCCCACGAGTTGCGCTGCGCCCGGGTGTGGGCGGCCATTTAGGTATCGGCTCGTGAAGGATTGGTCGAGGGGTGCGTGTGGGATGAAGTGTTTGAAGACGCTGGAAGGGGCGTTGGCGGGTGGGATGAACG